CTGAGCAACCTGATCTAGTTGAAGATGTCCCTGTTCATTGCAGGGGGGGTTGGACTAGATGACCTTTAAAGGTCCCTTCTAACCCAAACTATTCTATGATTCTATGATATATATTTTTAAATACTTAATCAAAGGAAGGCTATTTATGAAGTCATAGCTCTACATGATCTATTGAAGTATATTTGTGGATGCCTACAAGAATACAATATTTCATTAAAAGAGCTAGCAGAATAGTTAGGAAGGCCAAGGTCTCACTTGGACTGATAAAAGTGAGGTCAGTCCTTTGTAAAAGGGGCAACAGCAACAATAAGAAAAAAAAAAAATCAACATGCAAGTGTTTGCACAAGAAATTATGTACAGATAACATTAGAAACCTGTTAGAAAAACATTGCATAAATCACTAAAAGGTAGGAAAAAAGTGGGTTTAGTAGATAACATGTAATTTAAAAGCAATAATGAACAAAATGTTGAAAACAACGTGTTAACGTTAAGCAGCTCGGAAATCTATTACAATATAACTTTGTCATAAATTTTAAAGTTCATGAAATATAAAAAAAACTATACAAAAAGTTTTGGTTAAATAAAAGATATTAATATCAGAATAAGCAGATTTTCCATTAAAATAATCACACATACATATTTCAGTGAGAATTTTTTTTTTCTTCTACAAAAGAATTGACTTGCTAAAAGCTGAGCACAGTGTGGTAGCCTATTTGGCTTTAACCTGAAGATCAAATACTTAATTTTTCAAGTGAGGGAACTTAAAAAATACTGAGAAAGGTTCACTGAGTAAAGTAAATTATTAAAAAAAATAAATGAAGCCAACCTATTAAGCATAAAAATATACATATAAAGCATCTTGGTTTTTAGACAGTATACAATAATTTCTTGAACCTCTACAGAGAAAACTAGTCTTCTTCAGAAGTACTTACAATATGTGGAAAAACAATATACATACAGTCCCCGCGGTGAAAGAGGACTATAGGATCCATGAATCAGTGGTCAACATATAAAGTCTTACCATAGAAATATTGTAAACATTTTTCTTAATTGGGACCTCAATCATCTTTGGTATAACAGACTCCTAGGGAATCTCTGATGACACGTTTTATGTCCAACTTAAATAAGAGGGAAAAGAAACTGTTTAAACATTTTGCATTTAAAGTATGCATCACTTAAAAATGCAGTACACATATATGATCACAGTTCAGAATGGGTCTTTGCTTTTAATAAAATGCTCCTGGCCTATAAGTATCAAATCTTAATTGTTCTGGCCAAAGATCCACTTCTGGAAGGGGTCTGATGGATTACAGGATGCCAAACTCGGATGTTCTCCGTTTCCTGTAAGGCACATATGTAGTGCTGCATTGTAGAGAGTTTGATCCTAAAGTGGGTAAAAAAGGAGGAAAAAAAAGAAAGTGAACAAACAATGAGCATGCTATTTCCCCCCACTCTTCATTTTTTCCCAAGTTCATTGTTGTTAAAAAGAGTAAGGCCAAACAGGTAGTGCAGAGGCGGGGCTAGCAAACGAATATGAGTAATATGCAAGTGCCAACTTGTTTTGTTAGGAAATTTTTTTAAAGTATTTTAAAAGATACAAAACATTTGGATTGACTTCCAGGTGGATGCCCAGACACACACACTAAAGGATATCAACTGTTTTTGTAAGTGAAATCATCAAGTTTTGATCTGGTAACTGAAAAGCTGAAATTACCTACATTTTCCTCCCAGAAATAAACTTACTTCTTTTTGGCTTGAGAGTTTTGTTTCGTTGGGGTTTTCTCTTTTATTGGAAATCAAAACTTAACTCATATAAAAGATCACTGATAATATGCCGATGCACTGCACAGTCTAAATACCTTTTGATGCAGCCATTGCTCTTCTCCAACAGCAAAGGTTTTCTGGCCTTTGTAGTTACATTCGCAAAGCTGCACAGGTCCTTTCGAAGCATGCAGACAAAGCTCCTTCTGAATGTTATGTCGAATTTCATGGTGTGCAGAATATTCAAAGTACTATTTAAATAATTTTTAAAAATTTCAGTAAATAAATACAAAGAAGAGTATTAAACTAAATTAATCCTTTTAAATTCCAATACACAAAGTAATAGATTTCTTTTCTTATTCAACAATCTAAGACTACAGAATAATTTCTCTGATTTTTAGTATACACACTTTAAAAGTGTTTACAAAACTAAAAGCATTTTTTAATACTAATGCAATGGAATATATTTAGAAGTACTTAAATGTATAAATTGCAAATGACACTTGGTGCATATGCATTATGATGCAAAATCTCATTGCTTGCTCCCCCAGGAATCATAAATAATTCAAGGAGACAAACTGAAGAGTAGAGGTAGTTGCATGGATAACTTAAATGTTGGCATTTCTTAACTTCAAAAATTTTTATTCAATTTTTGTTGCTGGATTTTGTTTTTTCTTAGAGCAATCAGAGTGTCATCTTTTGCTGCTTGGTCTAAACAATAAATGCTAACAATAGGATGCTGTTATGTTCACTTGTGAGCTAGCCATTAGAAAAGTAATACAAGCATGTATTTTGTGAGTGAATTTTACCATTATTTCCTGACAGCAGAGTACTCTTAAGGCTCAGGAATCCTAGGCTATAATTCAGGTCTTAACAGGGATTTAATTCTAACAGTTACAGACACAGCTGTCCTTTTATGCCTCTCGTCCTACCCTACCATCCTGGTCTCTTCCTTTTCTCCCTCATTAAACAGCAGAGTTCCTATCATTACATCCCATTACCACTGTTTCTTGGCTCCTATGTCAGCCTTCTTCACCGTATCTTTCCTTTGACTATTAAGACCAGGCTCAGTTAGCTCCCTGTGGTTTTCAACTCTCTGTCCAATTGGTCAGCTTCCGCCTCCTCACTGCCTTGGCATCAATGGGAATAGCACTGAGGGACAAACAAGCATCTCACTCTTAAGTCTCTGCACCAAACGTTACTCCCTGAAACAGGTACTGATAGGAGTGACCTGCTTAGTCACTTAGGTCTCAGACATAATAATTTACTCTAAATCTGTTAATCTGACTTAATCTGTTCCGATTTCTCTTTTGAACTCCAAAATCTCTGCAAGCCCTGAAAATACGACTTGAAAGCTAGGTTTAAAACTTCATTAATTTTGGATATTGAGATGGACATATTCCCAGCCCCAGAATATTCTAAAAAGGAAGAATGATAAACACAATTGATGTACAACTCTGAAAACTAGGTACTCTCTTCCACTCCCTTCTCCTATCTCAAATAGATGGATGAAGAAGACAGGTAGCATGGAAAATTTCAGCCTACACTGCTAAAGTCTGGTAAAGAACATAATACAACTGAAAATAGAGTATTGTAATGAGAAGGGTTAAGTAAGCAAATATGCCCATCTCTTGAGCATTACCAGCACAACCTGTATTAAAATTCTCTGAAGGCTGGCATTTGAAGGGATTCAGACTGTTATTTTATGGCAGGAGGAAAAACATAAAATGCAACACTTGAAAGCATAGAGTTTTAGTACAGTCCAAGATAATTTAGAGAGAGATGACAATAGAAGCATACAGCAGATCTCTTAATACAATGTTTTGGTACAGTGTTCCCGCACTAATGACTGTGACAATGCGAAAAGGCTAATATAGTATTAATCCACAACAGAATAAAAGAACAACTTCAATACTGTAAGAAGCTAACGTAACAGGGTAGTTGTTAATCTAGACAGTGTTCCATCTCCCACAAAAATTGATTAGGAAAGCATCAACTAACTAGGATCATGTGTCTGAGTTTTCACAGTGCCATCAATGGATGGCTTTTAAGATTGAAGATTTTATAAAAAAAAAAAAAAAAGAAAAATTACAGCTATATTCTAACAAAAACTTTTAAACCCTTGTTGACCTTTAGTTATTAAGGATCTACAGTTAGCAAACTTTATTCCCCAAAGAACTCTTTAAGGCAACAGAGAAGTGTTCATTTCTGGGCAGGGAAGGAGATGTTACTTTTATTAGTATTACAGTAGTGCCTGAAGGATTCAGTATCTGACATCTATTGCAAGTCATACTGTAGAAGAAACAGAGCACCATTGCTGCCTCCAAGAGCTATGCATCAAAGAGAGCTGGTCTTGGACAAATTCAATCATATTATTCACTTGCATTAGCCAGTACAGGATAGACCACTTTGACTTCACACTATGAGGCTGCAAGCATGATAGGGAAGGTGACTCAGACCTGGCCACTTGGTCTCCCATTGGCCGGATTCCCACCAACATCTTCCTTGACAGTGCAAGTCCTGGTGGCAGAGAAAGAAGCAATAGGAGGAAGCATAAGGAAAGGAAGAATTAAGAAGACAACACTTACAAGAAAAGTAGTAAGGGTAGGATGAAAAGGTTTTGCACAGAAAGGAGAGATCAAGTGAAGCAGTGCAATTGTGTTAAAAATCTGAACCTGTATGCTGAACATAAAATGTTAGAAGTGGGACACAACATGAAAAGCAGTATGAAATTTTCCTTGAACAATATATATAGGAATTAACTCTTAAAAAAAAGGAGAGAGACAGAGAAAGAAAATTGCATATTAAAAATTAGTCCATTTCTCTAAAATAAATGAAAAGCTTTAATATGGTAAAGTTACAGCTAAACAGATCATAAAAATCAGGCATCAAATATTTTACCTGATTTCCTCCAAGTCCATGACAAGAATACATAATCAATGGTTTGCCACCATGGTTATTTTCACCAACATCCAGACACATGCGGTTACCTATGTTTTTTAACTAAAGAAAGGGTATTATCAGAAAAAAAATAAAGCAGCTCAGTGAGGATGACAAAAAATTAAACTGTCTCACTTGCATACAAAACTAACCTTTGGCTTAACAACAACTACAGCTGTTAGTTCATTTTTACTTTCTGCTATGCTCAAATCTAAAAATCCTGGTCTCTCAGAGCTAATCTTTTCTAACCAAAAGCCTAGTGACTACATTATGGTTGTCTACAGCCACACACTGAATTATTAGGCTACTGGTATACAAGGTTACTGTTATTCAAATTACAATTTGAACAGATACACATAAAATATTCAAAATTGGAGGAAGGGGAAGTGCTAAACATTGCTAAACTTTCACATTCACCTCAAGATAAGGATTATTAGTTTTTTAATACTTTGTTGGTTTTAGCAATGCAATGTCTAAGAAGTTATTTGGCAGAGAAAATGCAATGGCATAAAAAAATTTATGTATAACTATAAACACACATTTTCCTCATCATAAACCTAATTGTGAGAAGCAAACAGCTGTCCAGTTTTCCTCATTAACATGAACTAAAAATTCTCTCAGTCTTCTTACTATATAAAGCTAAATTTACCTTGATAATTCAGGAAATCTCTCACCATTGGCTTCGTACTTTTATATCATTTTAACGGTTAGTGATGGGCAGAATGTTGCTTATCTCAGCAGGTTGCAAGATCCCGTTAAGCAAGGCTACTGTTAGTTATTAAGAAGTTTTGCTTAAATTTCATATCACCATTGACAAAGCTATAAAATATTCAAATAGCAAGGTATACAGAAGAGATTCTTTGTCCAGAGTAGTGAGAGAAAACCCGAGAGCTGGGTAGCTGAAATGTAAATGATATAGCTAAGGTAGCTGAAACGTAAATGCTATGGCTAAGGTAGCACAGAAGATTAGCAAACTTCCTGGACTATGGAAGACTATAGACAATAATTAAACTTACATATCCAGAAAACAAAGGATTCAGGTCTGGCACATATGCTTCTGGATAAACATTACTGAGATACCAGGTAAAATTTTTACACTGCAGACGCTGCCTTAAATCAAGTCTTTTTGAGATGTCTCCAAATGTTTTCTGTTAGAGGAAGGGAAGTAAGGAAGAATGAAAGAGAAATATACTAACGTTACTAATATCAATTTTGTACACATAAATCTATGATATTCTGTATTGTAGCATTAAACAAGTTTTAAGCTTCATTTGTTGATTTTTTTTTTTTTTTTTAAATACCGTACTGCTACGGTTATTGCCGTTTGTTTTTCATAACACCACTGACATCCTGTCGGCAGCGTTTCAAAGCACATGCAAGAAAAATACATTGCAACATGGAAAGAATAGAAGTATCTTTAGTCCCAAGAGGGTTTTAACATAATGCCATGAAGTGGGAAAGTACAAACAAGACCATACTGATGACAGCTATAAAGCTAACTGATCTCACTAAAAAGAGTGAGCTGAAATAGTGAATTGGATTAATTAAATAATTAGCATAATAGTCAGTACAATGCAGAATTTCCCAGACAAAATTCAGTTGTCTAGCTGCTAAACATGCTTAGGAAATCTAATGCTATTAGTTATACAATAATCACAAAAAATTATCATACAAAGGGAGAAAAAATGGCTTCTCAAAGAAAACTCTAGATTCCAGCTGGTGAAAGACCAAAAGTTCCAGAAAACTTACAAAAATAAATAAACCAACCCCCCTGAATTTAACCTAAGTTTTTAAGCAGATAGAGACAGGATGGGTATCTATCATTGAATAAGCTTTATTCTGCAGCTGAAGAACAACAAAACCTGCTTTTTAACCAAGAATACTAAGCAACTTGAGACTAATGAGACATTATGTTTCTCACTCCAAGTTAGCTTGCACTTTCTGCGCTCAATAGCTTTTCTCATGCTCTTCTGGTAGTTCCAGTAGCTGTTCAGTGCAAACAACCCAGGATTTTAGAGAATGTATGAAAAAAACCCCTACCAATCAAAAAAACCCACCACACAAAACAACACTATCACCATCTGAACACTTAAGTTTTTCATGTTTGTTGGGGCTACAGCATTAAGCAAACTGAACTCTCTCTTTTAATGAAAATATCTAGAATCCTTACATACTTTGTCAATAAATAACTTTTGCTCACCAAAACTTTCAACGCAGCAAGTGTGATTTCTAATACCACCACCACCACCTACTTGTTTCACAATTTTTGCTGCCTCTGTGTTTCTTCGGTAAAATATTTCTTTATATTCATCCATCCAGACTTCTGCAAGGCGGACTTGATTACGTGTGATCACTTGAGTACCTTTTGGGAAAGTATGGGGACTCTTGCTGCGAAAGACATGGCCAACAACAGAGCAAGGCATGATCTCCAACTGTCCACCACATTGCCATACCTAATAATAACATTTTTTGTGTAAGTGCACTGCAATTGGAATTAAGGGGGTGGAAAAAAATTCAGGAATATTATCGTTCACCAAAAAAAACCCCAAACCACCAACAAGAGTGCATATATCAGGCATACCACAAGTGAATTTCCTAATCAGGTAAACCCTGGAAATGTACATTTCAGCTATCAACCCTAAACACGTTTAAAAAAAAAAAAAAAATCAGTTCAGTAAGCATGTTTGTATTTTATTTTATAGGTCATTAGTAATTAATTTTCCATGTCCTAGTTGGCTGATTCATCAGAGAAGTCAAGATCCAACACTAATTTGTCCTCAAAAATCCTGTACACTGTCAGTATAGAGACCACTGCTAATTAAGTAGCTAAACTTACTCTGAAAGACATTTCTATATTTTCACCTCCCCATATTTCCATTTCTTCATCATAGCTTCCAATGAGTTCAAAGTAGTCTCTTGATATTGAAAAGAGACCTCCAGCAAAAGTAGGTGTTCTGCAAAAAGAGAAATTTACTGAGGAAGAAAGAATTCAAATAGGTAGGTTTTTTTAAATATATATGTAAAATCATGGTATAACTGTTCTAGCAAGTTTCCATGCATTTGTCAGTGTTTCACTACATTGATACATTTTCCTGGCATAGATAATACTTCCAGCAATTAAATCTGCCCACACTGAGTCTCATTGGACAGTTTTATTTTCATTTATTAACAACTGGTTTAAACTAATGACTATTGGTATAAAAGACAGCATCAGGAAAAATAATATATTTTCCCTGTATGGAGGGTATCAAGCAAAGCTATTACTCCTCCAGACCAGTAACCTGTCTGCGGCCAAAGCATGTACAATTATCATCAAATGCACCACTGTAACAGTCTAGTATTTTGGTGCTCTGAGCCTTTGTTGCCATCCTTTCAAGGATGATGAATGAGAAGCCAGAATCTGTGGTACTGTCTCTGAAAAGAACTGTTTATAATCCTCCTCTCCCCCCTCCCTCCCGAGGAAAAAAAATATATAGAAAATGCTTATTATGTTTCTAGTGTATGTAGAAAAAAGGTAATGCAGAGCAATTACTGACTTAAGGAGGCTATATTTTTATGAAAGCTTTAAAATTTACAATGTGGTTCTTAAAGAAAGCATTACAAAAACCATCTAAGATGCTAAGACTTCTGATCATACTCATCTGAAGAACGAATTCATTTACAAGCTGCTGTTCATAACAAAAACCATGAAAACTGAAGGATTTAAAATATTATTCAAATTATGTTTACCTAATTGGATAGGTTTCATCTTTTCTTCTTTTATTTTCATGTTTAGGAATAGACTCCCATCCAAATGACAAACTCCAATCAAAATTTCCTCTGTTGTGGCTATGCCCATAATAAGAAGATGGTTTACTGAATTCAAAAGTATTGAGATCTATAGAAGCAATATCAGGGCTTACAACAGCAACAGGGTTCTCGGCTATTCTTGCCAATAATGGCTCTAACCAGCCATAAAAGCATTCACCTATGGAGAAAATGAATTGAATTTTTACTTGGCTATAAAGTAGTACACAGGGAATATTTTAACATGCCCGCAGCAAGCCAATATGCACTGCTTTTAAATAGCATTGCTAATTATACTTTCAATAATATAAAATAGCAATAGGAAAGATGATACATTGCTAATGTTCATAATTCATAAAAAATCTGCAACGTTAAATCAAAGGCAACAGTGTTATAAACCAGACCCGGCATAGTTACAGGTTACACTTACAATGAGCATCCAGAAAGGTAAGGGTCTCTCCTGTTGCTACTGAAGCTCCCAACAACCGTGCAGTGATGAGACCTTTCCTTTCCTTTTGACGGACTACTTTAACTATTTGAAACTGTTTCACATATTCATCTAGTTTATCATGCAAGTATTCTAGAAAGAAAAATTTTCAGGATATTCAGTGTATATACATGCCACTGCCTAAAATTTTACATTATTAAACTAACAGGATAAACGATTCACACTAATCCCAGGAACGACCTCAATATCAAAGCAGTGAACAATTCCTGGCTGCTGAATGCTATTTTTAGGGGCCGAGTTTTCTTGGGGGCGGGGGCGTAGAAAGAGGTGACTGGCAGAGAACAGGGGATGGAACACTAAAAATATTCTAAAAGAGAAAGAACATGTGCTAGTACATCTCTTCTGCAGTATTAACAGTTTGAATATCAATTCAAAATCCATTTTCAGAGCAAACGGATCATGTACTTACTTACTCAAGTTACCTGCAGAGCATGCAAATTTTTTCCTTAATGACAGCACATTTTACACACAGTTTGCAAAGGCTACAATATTTACAACAGCAACAGAAGCTATAAAAAAACCTCTTTAAATGTGCAAAATTTGAGAAACAACCCCACATCCCTCATTAAACATCCCACATCATCTTCCTTCCTCTGCCCATCCTTAGTATTAAACTGTACTACCGAATATTCTTCACATCCAAGTGTGTCAGTATACTAAATACAGACTTGCAAAAAGTGTAAATACATTAATATAAGCATGTATGTATAGACACGTTCATCTGAAGTTAAGCATACGAAGTTTTTTTGAACTTGCATTTGTGATCACACTCAGTACACATTCAATTATTTTTGGCAGTCAGCTTCAGTATTGAAGATTATTTTTCCATTAAATAATTTTACTTTCTAGGAAAGGCATTGCCCTTCACATTAATGAAATTAATTTACATAAAGACAATCACTATGATAAAATGCAAATTGCTACAAACATTGGCCGATTTATCTTTGGATACTTTGTTTTATAAACTGTAATTGGTTTGAAGCACAAATTACAGAGCTACTTGTCATGCAACCAGTTATGCAGTTTAAGCAACACTAGAATTGGAATAATCAGAAATGGGATTTAAAAACCTTTTAGAGGACAAGAATTTCATATTTGACTACCTTATGAAAAAGAGATGGGGGAGAACTATTTTATATTTTATAGAAAAAGAAACGGACAAACCCACTTAGAATACCATTACACATGTTAATGGTGGTAAAGAAGTATTCCCTTTTAACCAATTTATCTGTAATCCTAACATGTCTTAAATTAAAAAAAAAATTCAAGAGAAAATAGAAAGGCTTCTTACCATCTACACTGGCATCATCCACCAAAATAATCTCCTTTAGCAGTATGGCAGGAGATGTGTACATCACGCTGTGAACAGTTCTGAGCAGAGTGGACCATGCTTCATTATGAAAAACTATTATAATACTTGTGGTTGGCAATGGCGGGCAACGCTTAAACTTTTGTTCAATACATCTACAGATTAGAAAGTGTCAAATGTTACAAAACAGACAAAAAGTTTTGACTCAAACTCTTAAAAGAAACCCTTTTCTTTCTAGTACAAAGCTTTAAAAATATGGACATTAAATATTTCAGCTTCTACACTTTCTATCCCAATTTTGGAGTGCAGAGGCTGGTGCTCCAACTGGAGAACCTGTACAAAATATTTTTAAAAAATATGATGAATAAGAATTCCACTTGAACAACTGACTCAGTTCTGCTTCTGTCTCACAAACCTTTGAATACGTTTCATATAGCACCCAGGTCTTCTTCAGAAAAAGATATGTTATTCTATTGAAAGCAGCAGATACTGAGCTGCAAAATCAGACTTTAAGTCATCATTACTGTTGAAACCCAAAAATACAAAGAAGAATATTTATTAGAAGAATGCGGAGTTTGCAAGGCAAAATAGAACAGATCTAATTCAGAAGTTCAAAATTTTGTAGAAATACCATATAATCCTTAGAGCAGCATATCCCATTCAAGGGAAACAATTTTAAACCCACAGTTTTTCAAGACTGATGTATTCTGAACATAACTTTAAATCCAATTGCAAGTCAAGATGACAAGACAACACTTCTGTATTCATAAGCTGCACACTTATTGTTTATTGCCTGTCAACTTTAGAGACTGGAAGACTCCCCAAGGTAATTATCACAGCCATTGCCTCACAAAACACACAGGCGAAAACTCACCAGTTACGCTCTAGCAAAGGTTATTGTGAGCTGCACCACATGTAACATGATATTCATACTACCAGCAGCAGCTCAGTAAAGTTAGTCACTTCTGACACAGATAGCTGAGAACATATAATCTGACACTGGCAGAGACTGCTCATAACCAAACCCCACTCTACCCAAGTCCTACAGTCTTCATTAATAAAATTTTTCAATACTACAAGATTGCTGAGATGTTCCATTGCGTTGTTCAACAGTTTACAATTCCTAATTTATTAAATTATGCTGGTGGTTTTATTAACAATGAATACTAAAAAAAAAAGGGGGGGGGGGGAATGTTTTTTAAATTGGGAAAAAGTTTAAACCACATTTTTAGTTTTCTTCTAAGTAAAACTTAGCAGGCTTCCAGAAAGCGACTCAGAAATTGTAGCTTAAAGGAAAAAGCAGAAAACCTTATTTAAATATAGTTACTTTGAATTCAAAACCATGAAAGAAGTGAGCCTTTCTAAACATTCTTCGCTTTGGCACTGTGGATCATTATGTACAGTCAGTCATTATGTAGAGCTAGGAGACTCTCCTAAACTATCACCTAATGCCGAACTCAAATCACTTTGCAGTCTGCATTTCTGACAAGTTTTTCAACTATCAGGACATACACATTTCAACATACTCAGGAGGTCGAGTGTCTGGTCCAAGATCTCGGTGTAAAGAAATCCGATCACTTGCAAATGCATTAAAACAGTGTTTTTCTTCTCCACGCTGTTTTTCTTTCTGTTCTTCTGAATTTAAGTTGATGGTCTTAAATGCTTTACCAGAGGCTCCAGGACCATTAGGATCTTGAAGGGGTCGATCTAGAAAGGGTTTTAGTTCCACTGCAGTATAGTGTCCTGGCAAACAGTGTCTCTCTCCAGGAATCTTAGTTTGCCTAACAGGTGCTTTTATCTGCATTTTTGGCTTTGCACCTTTGATATTGTTCATAGCATTTAACATGAGACCTAATACATGACTTTTCTTTCCAACAACTGGCTCAATCCCTGCTTCATCTTTAAAATCTTGAACACCCACTTCTCTTTGTAATAAAAATAAAAATACCAGAAAGACAAACACAATAATGCTAAACTTCCAAAGTTTCCAGTGAAAAAATAATTTCTTGAATAGTTTAGGTGTTTTTTTCAAAGCCATTCTAATTTTAAAAATTTATCACAAGACAAAAGTTCCTGTGAATGATGTTCTTCAAATAGGTCACAGCATTTCTTGAAATTGTAACACCTGTAAATTAAAACAAAAAGTATAAATTAAGACATCTAGTATATTCGATAATGTAAAACCACAGGCGCTTAATAGGCAGGAATTAATTCACAACTCCCAACAATCAAACATTATGTGTCCATCACTTAAAGATAAGTCAAACCTATCTATAAAGGAAAGTGCATCTTGGGTATCTGTTTTTTTGGTTTGGGGTTTTTTTTTAAATACACTTCAAATAGAAGAACCAAAAAGCAGGCATACCACTAAGAATAAAACACTATTTTTACATAATGCCACTACTTCACATTAATTTTCTTCCAAATCTTGAAAATTAAGTTGTTTAAAATTAGAGGAAAATGTTGGTTTATGTCTTCTAGAAGAAGGGAATTTTAGTTCAATGATGAGATAGAAGGAAAGCAGATGGAATCAATATGGTAAGTTCAAGTTGCACGTAAGAAAGATCCACATAAAAAGTGAACTATAAAGACAGGAAGGACTTCTCAATCAACTTATTTCAACAATTTGGAAATTTCCAATATTTAAAAAAAAAAAAAATCCATTTCAAGATTAGACTTAAACAATCAGACTTCCAAGTGGGAAATTTTTAGATTGATTTAGTTATCTAGTATACATATTCAATGCAGATTTAATACAGGTGATTTGGAGTAGGGTAATTTAGCCTGAGGATCAAGTAATCATTCTGTACATTTTTTCATTCACTTGTACTGCATTTTCTGGCATGTGCTGCTGCAACTCATCAAGAGAACATGTCAAAGAGCTCTCCTGTTTCAGGAACTCTGCCACTATTTTTTTGTACAGACAAGCAATTATTCAGCAGCTTTCAAAGATGGGGAACTATGAAAAACATTTGAGGACTACCAGAAACCAAGTGATTTGAATTAAATTCTCTCTGCAAAATTGGCAGTTTACAAGAAGGGGGAAAATAGCAACCAGTCTGAATTCAAAACACAGCTTTATTTTTGTGTAAGTTGCATGTATGTAAACTGAGAAAAGAAATAAGCAGCATCTAGATAAAAGCCACAGTTAATTCCCACTTGCTAACTACTGACCACAGAATTGCAAAAAACTACTTTTTTATTTCATCCTTTGAAATACAAATAGATTCTGCATTTTTTAATTGGAATAACATATACTCAGGAAGAGATATAACTTACAGAAAACAGAAAAAAACCTCACCTGGCTTCCTTCAAGAATTTGCAGGATAAGTTAAGCATCCGGACTTGTTCACATTCTAGTTTATTTCAAACCTTATGTCAGCTTTTTTTAATAAACTCATACATTCAAACCACAGTAGTTTTACCATAGAGCTATTGTTATAAGAATGCAGAGGGGAAGCTCATTACAGCATTGTCATATAGATACTAAAAGGTACCAAAAACGTGCTTCACAAGGCTCACAAGATTTCCAAGAAAACCCATTAAAAAAATCCAGTCCATTTCTGTCTCACACATTATTTTCCCATTTTTCTTTAGTGCTGAAAAATTTGTACTACAATACCGATACTTCTACACTGCAAGACTAAGAATAAAAACTTTCTTTCCTGGTGAAAGGATTGCAACCAATTTATCAAACTGCCAGATTAAAAAATGCCTTGTTTTCTCACAATGTCTGGTGGGTTGATTTTGGCTGGCTGCCAGACACCCACCCAGCCACTCTCTCACTCCCCCTCCTCAACATGACAGCAGGGGGAAAATAAGATGGAAAAGCACATGGGTCAAGATAAGGACAGTGTGATCACTTACCAATTACTGTCGCAGGGAAAACAGACTCAAGGATGATGAATTTAATTTACTGCCAACTAAAAATAGAGTAGGATGGTGAGAAACAAAGACAAAACTAAAACCACCTCCCAGGCTCAACTTCACTCCTTCATTCCCAACTCTTCTATCTCCTTTCTCTGAAGTGGTGTAGAGGGGATGGAGCACAAGGGTTGTGGTCAGCTTGTAACACTTCATCTCTGCTGCTCCTTCCTCTTTACACTTTTCCCCTGCTCCAACATGGGTCCTCTCCGCAGAGTACTTCAGCAAAAACTGCTCCAGCATGGGTCATCCATGGGTCACAGTTCCTGCCAGGATCTTGCTCCTGCAAGGGCTCTCCATGGGCTGCAGCTTCCTTCAGGGCATATCCACTTGCTCCAGCATGGGGTCCTGCACAGGCTGCAGTGTGGATGACTGCTCCGGCATGGTCCTCCATGGGCTGCAGAGAAACACCTTCTTCACCATGGTCTTCTCCATGTGCTGCAGCAGGACAACCTGCTTCACCACAGACTTCTCCATGGGCTGCAGGGGACTATCTGCTCTGGTGCATGGAACACCTCCTCCCCTGCTTCTTCACTGACCTTGGTGTCTGCAGGATTGTTTCTCTCATATTTTTCTCACTCCTCTCTCTCTCTCTCTCTCTCTCACAGCTGCCGTGCACCATTTTTTACCCTTTCTTAAATATGTTATCACAGAGGCACCACCTGCTACACTGGGTAGCTCAGCTTTGGCCAGCAGTGGGTCCATTTTAGAGCTGGCTGGAACATGCTGTGTCCAGCATGAGGGCAGCCCCAGTCTCTTCTCACAGAGGCCACCCCTGCAGTCATCCCCACTTCCCAACCCTGCCATGTAAATGCAATACACAATGTAAAACACTAAGCATATATACAGATCAGCACGTAGCAAGATGACTGTAACTTGTGGAACTACCATTGCTAAATATACTCTGCCCGACTTTACAGCCTCTGCAACCTGTTAACCAGGAATGTTTTTGTAACACCATAAAAAAGAAAATCACGTTACTGTTTCTCAGTGCACCATGCACAAGCACATATGATATTAGTAAATCTTAAGACTTAGGAATCAATAAGCAATATAAATATGCCTTCCTCAAATAGAAAAAAGAAAACACATTTTTTTTATATTTGAGGTACTTAATATTATAAGAGAGTTCTGGCTACCTCTTTATCTCCCAAGCAGTCATTAGGCATAGTCAATCAGGCAAACACCTGGGGAGGGGGGCATTAGCCCTGGTTGGCTGGTTGATTTGTTTCTAAACATTATTGCCCTCAAATTTCTTTTATATCACTAAACAAGCAACAATGTTCTCCAACTTCCTCTAGGCCTCTTCCTCTTTGTAAAGAGACTTAAATTTGTCCATAACAAGAGAAAGGTTAAGCATTAATGAACATGATGGTATAAGATATGTCATGAAAAGAGAGATTAAAGCTAATTCTATATAGCAACATTGACTGTTTTACACAGAAATTATGCTTGAGATTAATTTGAGAATTTAATCAGCATTTGAGTCAAATATTTATGACTGTCTCTTTTTGTTTTAACGAGCTGGCATGAGACTACTCAGAAAGGGTAGAAAAATTACATGTTATGGCTACATATCTGTTATGTGCCTTAGTACCAGAGAAATCTTTTAACTAATTTAACTATTAATTTAGAGAGTTAAAGTTGCAGTTGTCAGATTTCCATTGTCCATCTTCAGCATTTCAATTAACGCAGCAATATTTACGTATGCTAAGCTCACTATGTCATACATTTTTTTCTCGTTTTATGTTTACTACATGAACTTTGGCTTCATTGTCTCCAGCAACAAAAAGGAGAAATGGACTAGAAAATACCAAAGATTTCTTCCACAGATTTTTAGCACATACAGACTTTTGCTGCTGCTTGCTTTGACGATGACATACTAACCTATTCTTCCCAAAGCATCAAAAGTACATACGTACATTTTACAAAAAAACTTAAACTAAATTACTGTCATTTTTATTTGGGATTATTTCCTGCACAAATTGAGCATATACAAATGCTTAGAATACTCATGATCAACACAAAAGAAGAGTCAAGATATCTGTAAGTCACAATAACCAAAATCCAGAATATTTCTTGCACTACCTGTGTTTTGCATATCTCTGTCCTCAGGCAAATAAGGCATTAAAGACTATAATAAGCAGACTTAATGAGCAACCAAGAACATATAGCAATTTATTCAGCATTTGGTTTCCTATGTAACTATATTCACTTTTATCTGCATGCACTTTGGCTTCTCTTTGACAACATATTTCCTTGTATTGCATACATCTGTCTTGGCTGCTCAGGTCTTACTACAGCAGGCTGCCATAACACACAGGTGAAACGTGTCTGTCCCTAGAAATGAAAAGACAACTCACCTGAGTTAAGTGGGTTGTGCAAGCAAAGCAACACAACTTAACCCTTTCAATGTGGATTAGTACACTCCAGTAGCATACATGGCAGCATGCCGTGAACAGAAGTAAGTGCAAGTGATGTTTCTTTTTTAAAGAAAGGATCAAGTAATAGCCTTGGAATAGTATCTGCAGCAGAAGTGAAGTGGACAAACATGGGCTTGTTTGCCACAAACGTACAGCAAACTCTTTGACATAGACAAATGCTAAGTGTAGTTTTATTGACAAAATATCTTATAGGGATATTGCTTACAATAAGAGAAGAGCTCTTTGTCACATAAAATAGTAGCAGTTTCCAGAACACAGACTACATTGTCCAAAGAACTTTTGTCATGAAAGCTGTATCTTCCTTAGGGTTTTACGAGGATAATTTTCTAGTCAGAAATAAAATCTTTATTCCCCACAAATGCCTCACACATTTTTATGGCATAGTAATGCCAGTAAGCACAGACCAAGCTACTGTTCCATCCTCCAGGACATGCTAAAGAAATATGTGGCATGATTAAACTCCCTGAGGTGACTGTTTAGCAAAGTGTTTAATCTTCTATTCATTAGTGTTATTTTCACTAATAGTAGTCTGGATTCTTACAGCACTTTGAAATAATTAGCCCTAAACGTCAGAAGTTGGATTTTAGGGATTTTTTTTTTTTAAGAAGAAAATAACCAGAAAACTAATACGTACTACAAAAGTCTTCTAAAAAGTGCCAAAAAGCAGCTG